CTCAGGAAATATTCCCCTGCAATGGTGCTGCTTTCAGGTCCTTATAGAAATCATCATTAACTCACGTGAATGAAAACCTGGTTAGTGTCCAGATCTCAGTGTAAGTTTAAGCATTATAAAAACTCCTACCTTAAAAAAGAATTGGTTGCACCGGACAAAAAAGCAGCGGCCATTTTTATTCGGTTAGCGTCGGCCTGTGTTGTGTTATTCTGTAAGAGCACCACATACGTTTTAGTTCAGTGGCGTGCCTTGTTTTCCAGAACTACAACTACTCTGTGCTAATAGCGAGCCTTCAGTGTTCAGATGTTCGTGCAGTAGATGACCATATGGAGCTATATGGTTTGAATACACCAAAGCCAGAGTGAAAAGTGAAAGCAAAAGTCATTTAATTGATGTTTGATGTGATGGAGATACTTTTCCAGCAGGTGACACGTTTTAAAACCTTTACCAGTGTGTGTGTGTTGTGATGCTTTCACATGTGTGGTCCTGTTTAATCTTACTTTTCCTTTTTGCTGTAAAAAGGAAAATGAGTTCTTTAATGAGGCGCCTGGTTAAAAAGGTTAAAGTGGCTCACTGGTGTTAGTGTTCGATCATAGATGATGAAGCCGGTGATTGACGGTGGTCAAAGTAAATGCTTATAATTCATCAATCGAGGTGATTTTTGCCTCATTTCCCTATTGATGCATTCAATTGTTATTATTATGAGATCCATAATAAATTGAAATTGAATAAATTGCTACACTTATCTATACTCATCATCAACACATGAGAGAAAACAGAAGCAGGACATTTCTGACTGAAAGGGAGAAATAAACTGTGTGTGTGTGTGTGTATTCATATCTTTGTGGGGACCAAAAATTGGAAGTTTATTGTACTTGTGGGGACCAACAGCCCTTATGGGGATGTGGTTTTAGTGTCAGGGTTACAATTGGTTATGGTTAGGTTTAGTGTAAGAGTTAGGCATTCATGTTTCATGGTTAGTAAAATGGAGAGAATGTTGTCTCCGGGAGTTTAGCTGATTTGATTTAGAGCAGCAAGGTATGGGTGTATGGGTGTGTTCCTGTTAAAGAACACGGAGGCAGCTTCCAAGTTTAGGAGATTTATTCAGCTGTGGTCTGTAGTAATGATACATAAAGCAACCATCAGTACAGCACACATAAAACATTCAACATGTCCAGACATTATTCTAGCACAGAGATAGCACAAGGAACTGTATTCAACACTCACATCTGTAACAACTTCAACAATTACACAAGATTTATAATTAGCATTAACTAGCTTAGTAGCTTAGTAGCATATTAGCGTATTAGCATAGGATAATATTAGCGTATTAGCATAGGATAATATTAGCGTATTAGCATAGGATAATATTAGCGTATTAGCATAGGATAACATTAGCATAGCCACGAGGGAACAAACACACAATAGCAGCTGACATACACAACATCATGTAAACAGAACCCACCTTCTGGCATTCACACACAGCAATAAAGCTGTGTGTTCTCACGAGATACTGGTGAGAGGACACAAGGAAAAATGCTGGCTATCAGCAGCTACAAAGGCAGACTAGCAGCACAAGGCACAGAGTGGTGCATTCAAGGAGCGTCAGCATAGACATGGTGAGTTCAATGACGTAGGACATATCAATTTCCACAGCGCAAACACTATCTATAAACAAACCACAACACTTCAACCAAGCAAATAACGTGTAAACAGTGGGCTTTCTAACAGTTAGGGTAAGGGGCTAGGGAAAGCATTATGTCAATTAGATGTCCCGAAAGATATAATTACCCGACATGTGTGTGTGTAAGAGAGATTTTTTTAGGCCACACGTTGTACATTGTGGAGGTGGACAGTGCCATTGAGTGCACACTAACATTAACCTCCTCTGCATCCCGCCCAAGTGGCAGCGCTAGCAGTCATCTGTGATCCCACATTGGGCTGTTAGCAGTTGAGAGCACATTTCCCAATGCTAATTGGTATTAGGATATTGGTGGTAGCCCTGCGACGGACTGAAGACCTGTTCAGGGTGTACCCGACCTCTCGAAGAAGCGAATGGATGGATGTAAAATTTGTTATTACATAAAAGAAGAACCCACACCTCTCGTAATACAATACGTTTGAAGTTTTGGACATGCATAATATTTTTTTGTTTCTTCAGACTATTTTTCACTTAATCCTTCATGCATGAATTCAATCTCAATCAGGATTTTCTTCTTCAGTATTTTTATTCATCTTTAGGTGTAAAAAGATGAATAAAAATACTTAAGAAAAAAGTTGTCATAATTCATGTATGAAGGGGTTAAATAACAATAATTACAATGAAACACATCTATAGTAACATTAAAGGACCAGTGGGTGGCAGGCCATGTGGTTTATGTGAAAGTGTGCCATCAACACTGACACAAATACAAGAAAACAGCCTTTGAATAGCTGTCCACTGTAGTGACCAATAGGCGTGAAAGGGTTAATGTTACCATTTTTCACAAGCTTATTGAAATGCATCTCAGTAAGCTCGTGACATAAAGAAAACAAAACATCATCCATGTATCCAATTCCTGGTCACAGTGGTGCTGTCCCAGCTCTTATATGGCGAGAGGTGGGTGCACACGGCAGCTCACCAGTCTGTTGCAGACTCACAGTTACACATCAAGCTGATTTAGAGTCACCAGTTCATCCAACATGCTTGTTTCTGGACCGTGGGAGGACGCAGAGAGAGCAGACACGGGGAGAATGTGCAGACTCCACGCAGAGAGCTCCCAGCCAGCCTGTGAGGTCAAACCTGGGACTGTCTCACTATGAAGCAACAGTGCTAGCAACTGCACCACTATGCGAATTAAATATATTCAAATTATTCTTTAAAAGTCAGCTTGATTACCTGTTCAAATAAAGACTAGTCCTAAGCTGCAGTGTCCCACTGGCATATTTATCATTGTGTTTTTGCAGCATGGTAACCATGGTGATCCAGTTCTCGGTCCTCATCATCCTCCATTCCTGCCTGGTCCTAGTTACGACAGCGGAGGACTACAAGTGTCTGCCTCTGGTCCTGAGAAAAGCCTGCTGCTGGATAAACGAAACCTACGCGGCACGAAACGTCATCATTTTCGTCTCGATCCTCATCAACTTCCTGGCAGCCATGATCAATATCGTGAGTTCTTTATTTATTTTTTTTAGATGTATTATTTAAAACATGGGGTTAATGTTTGTCTGCAAAATAACTGTCAGAATGCATCAAATATGGGAATGCTACATGGTTAGTACCGCAGCATTTCTTCATACTTTGGGCAACAGGACAGTGTGTGTTTGTGGTAATGAAGAAACATTTCACCTACTTCAATAGCATGGCTGCTAAAATGTATTTTAATGGGTTAATTAAATATGGAGCTTCATGAAACAGATTGATTTGATGGATGGTGTGCAGTACCTCAATCCATCCAGTGGGGTAAATACAGACTACAACACTTGACTTCGTACTTGTTGGAAAGCACAGTGGTACGACATTTAATGCCAGTTGAGAATTCCAAATATTTTCTATAAGATTGCGGTCTGGACACTAGCTAGAGTATTTGGATCATTCGGCTCTCCTTTGTTATCTTGGTGGTGGGTTTTTAATCAATGACCCATCTTCAGTGTTCTGGCTGAGGCAAGAAACTTCTTGTTAAAGATTTTATGCCACGTGACTCCGCCCATTGTCATCCTGTACTCTTAGCAGAAAAACAGCTCCGAAGTGTAATGTTTCCGCTCCCATGCTTGGCTGCATGTGTTGGGTCGAGTTGATGCCAAAGAGCTCGACTTTGGCTCCATCTGACCGCAGCTCTTTCTGCCAAGCCTTCTCTGAATCATTCAGATGTTCACTGCCAAACTTGGGACACACCTCTACATGTGCCTTCTTCAGCAGGGGGGCTTGTGGGAACTGCAAGACTTCAATCCATTATGCCGTAGTCTGTGGTCCCAACTACTTTCAGATCATTAACAGGCTCTTCCTGAACCTTTGGTTGATATTCTGTCTTTCTCCATTAAAATTAAAGACTTTGTTTCTATGTGAATGAGCAAACTTACAAATTGAGTAGGGGATGAAATAATTACTGTTTAACACCATGCATCGCATTTTCTTATTATTTTAATCAACTAGGAACATCCTTGTTCTCGCTCTGTTGCTGTAATTTATT